GACTAATTGGCTGGGATATAGTATGCTGCCTAACTTCCCTGTCTTTGATTGCCTGGCAAACACTGATTATGGGCACCTTCAGTTTGCCCACAACTTCTTGTGTCCTGTACTGCCTTGCTTGTGCTCTCAGCACTGTTTTAACCCCTGCTCTGTGAGCCTCCACCACTGGGAACATGTGGGAAATTTGTTTCTGGTTGAGTTAACGTTGCAGCCAGAAGAGGCATGGATCAGTGACTGTGGCAGCAGCCTTGATGGCTCAGGACTGACTTTCTTGCCAGATTCTTCAAATAATTTCCACACCTTGGGGATGGTTAACTACAGATCAGGGCTCTCAGACTCAAATTCCTACCAGTTGCATCTGGATACATGCATGAGTGACAATTCCCAGGTGGTCATGTAATAACATACTGGAATACTCCTCACACCCACTGAGAAATACGTTTTCACATTTCCCTTGCTACAAGATCCCCCTCCACGTCTGTCCATTTTCCCTTTCCCATCATTGATGAAGGCATAACTGCAGATAAAAAGATGTATCTATCATAAGGAAGTAACTATGCAGACATACTAAGGTCTTAATATGGAAATGAACCAGGAGTGGGAGCAATGACAGTGAACTGGGTGCCTGTGGCCACGAGGGAATGTGGGCCCAGAGTTGCCAGTCTTCTGAGTTTTCAAAAGTTTTCAGAATCTGGAATTTTACTTGAGTCCTCCTCATTGTAAGGAGCCCTGGTGGCACACTGTTTAAGTGTTTAATTTGAACCCACCAGCCTCTCTCCAGGAGAAAGATGAGGCAGTCTAGCTCCTTAAAGATTTATAGCCTTGGAAACCCTATGGTGCAGTCCAACTCTGCCCAATAGGGGGGCTCTGGATTGGAATCCACTGAACAGCAACAGGTTTGGGGTGCTGGGGGGCAGTCCCTCAAAAACATCACATGCTTCCCCCTCAAAAAAATAAAAAAAAATCCACACACAATTTAGGACTGAGTTTGGCCTGAGGCATAAGCTTGTCATATCTGAGTGACATAGAGCAATTCCATCCTGTCCTTTGAGGATGATGGGCTGAGCTCTCCCTAACACAGCGACCAGGGTGAGCGGAAGGCAATGCTTCCCCAAAGGTGCCTCATTGAGGTGATGTCACTAGGGTCCAGGCAGAGTTTGTCACCTATGCTTGTGCCATTGGAGCCCTGTTCCCAGCATCAGTTGAACCAGCCTCTCTAGGCAAACACCTTCCTTCCAGGGGCTCTGACTGGAGAAAACACTATGTAAACTTGAGGACAAGGCTGGCTGCTGAGAATAGGGTGCCAAGCCCTGGGGATAATCTTTCTTCTGAGGAGTGGCTGGTGGTTTGAACCTCTAGCCTTTTGGTTAGCAGTCAAATGCCTTAGGCACTATGCCACCAGAGCTCCCAATGAACCCATAGAGAGGAAGTTTCAGCTGGTTGGTTCCTGAACTCATGTAATGGCAATGGATGAAGGTCAGTGCCTGGGTGATGGAGACCACTGAGGCCACAGAACCAAGCCTCACCATTCCCCTAAGCTCCTATCCTCCCCCACAAACACTCCCATTCACCAGTCCTTTAAACTAAGCTAAACGTTCACCATGTTTACAAAAGCTTTTTCTGCAAACAACTTGAGAAAAATCTATCCCCAGTGGACCAGTGCAATAGGGAAATGTGTTTTTTCCTTAATGGCCCATCTTTCCATAGAGAGAGAAGTCAGAAACTTGCAGCCCAGTTTCCCTAATGATCATGCGACCAGTCCACTACCACAATAATCACAGCCAATATTTATCCAGCACTTACTCTGTGCCAGGCTCTTTTCTAAATGCTGCACTCGTATCATGTCATTCAGTCCTCCCAACAACCAGGTGAAGAGAGGTGGCAGTATTATTTCCATTTTGAGCTGAGGAACTAGGCACAAGAAGTTAAATAAGTTCCCAAGGTCACACAGCTCCTGAGTGGTAGAATTTGGTCTCAAAAGCAGGTACTGGGACAAAGCATACAGCATCTTAACCAATTAGGGGCCAGCCTCTCTGTGGAAGGTGTGTGGGGGTGGGGATGGGGTGAAGAGTGCAAATTCTTCACCAGCTATCCTAGGAGAGTGAATGGTGCTTGTGGGCCTAGAATAAGGGGATTCATTTCAAAGAGGAGGTGCTGAGACTTGAACGATGAACCGTAGTTGGGTGTTACCCTTTTCCACTCATAGTGACCCCATGTGACAGAGTAGAACTGCCCCCATAGAGTTTTCCAGGCTCTGGCATAGTGGATAAGGTACTTGACTGCTAACTGGAGGTCAGTGGTTCAAACCCACCAGCTGCTCCGCGGAAGGAAGACAAGGCGATTTTCTTCCATGAAGATTTATAGCCTCGGAAACCCAATGGGGGTCGCTATGGGTCGGAAATGACTCGATGGCAGTGAGTTTGGGTTGGTTTCTTATTTTTATTATTATTTTTTTTTTTCATCGTTACAGGTGGCATAGTGGTTAAAGCTATTCTGCTGCTACCCAAAATGTCGGTGGTTGGAGCCCACCAGCCGCTCTTGGGGAGAAACGTGAGGCAGCCTGCTCCAGTAAAGATTTACAACCTTGGAATCCCTATGGGGCAGTTCTACTGTGTCCTGTAGTGGACTCCTTGGCAGTGGGTACTTTTTTTTTTTTTTTTTTTACAGCAGCAGGTCGTCAAGTCTTTCTGATACAAAGGCGCTGGATGGGTTCCAACCACTCTTTCTGTTGGCAGCCAAACACGCCCCCAAATAAAAAAAGTTTTCATATCAGAGTCAAAAGGATGTTAAAAGTACAAAGGGCCTCGGCTACACTAACGAATCCAATCCACTTCATTTACTTGGAAGGCTCCTTTCACCCAGAGTAAATCCCAAGTTTTTTTCGTCTTTGTAAGACCCCTCTCCCCAAAGGGATGGGGAGAGGCTGGAAGAACCCCGACTTGGAGCGATGTGAACAAAGTGATGAGCTCACAGTCTGTCCCCCAGAAAATCCTCCAGGAGCCTGAAGGTCCACCTCCCCGCTTACCTCGTAGGTGCTGGTAATCCCCAATTTGTAGAACACCGGGAGGAAGACCTCGGCGCTGATGACCACCACAAAGAAGTAGGTCAAGGCAAAGATGCTGAATATGGCCCCGAAGCGGTAGATCTCAGAGGGGGTGCCCAGGACTGTGATGGCCGACATGAAGCTGGCGGTGAGGGACAGCGCCACGGGCACAGCCGTCATACTGCGGCCGCCCATCAGGAAGTCCTTGGAGGTCTGCTGGCCGCCCCCCGCGAAGGCGTAGTAGATGCCAATGACCGCCGAGATGAGCAGCATCGCGGCGAACACCAGGTAGTCCCACACCACGAAGGTGCCGATGCCCCGCGCCGCCTCCATAGCCGCGCTGCCGCCGGTGCCCTGCGCGCAAACCCCTCGGCGCACGGTCCCAGCCGCGAGCTGGAGCCCCCGGCGCCCGGCGCTCACTTCTTATTCCCCTGGCCCTGGGCGCCGGGGGCCGCGGCGGGCGTGGCGCCCTGCAGGGATTGGAGGCGTCCCTCCAGGTGAACGTCCCAAGGGAGGGGGCGGGGGCGCCGGGTGCTGCCCCTCGAGTCCCGGCTCTGGGATTCAGCGAGCCCGCCAGGCGCACTGAGCGCTCCCAGGTGCCCGGCTGGGGTGGCCGGGAACGCAGAGGCGCCGGGACACCCGGCCAGGTGGCAGCCGGGAGGACTGAGCCTCCAGCCGTGTCCGAGGAAACACGGGAGCGCTTTCCGCAAATTTGACCAAGAGGCACCCGAGTGGAAAGCACCCTTTAAATGAGCAGGCGAACGGTAGGGAGCGTGGGTCGAAGGGCAATTGACATGCCTTTACTTTTCGCTTTCCCGTTCAACAGTCCAGGTCCTTATGGGAAGATCGGCCTGGAGTTTTTAGATTTGATCTCTTCTGGGGCCATGCAGGTGACAATCTGCAGTGCTCGGGGTCATTGTTCCTGGATAAGGAAGCAATCAGAAAGGAGAGGAAGAAGTTTGTGCTATTGGTGACCTGTCTTGTCATTCATTCCCTGAAGCCCATAGAAATGGTAGTTGCGGTGCTATTTATAATAATACCTGTCATTTAATGAGCCTTCCGATGCAACACATACATGTGTGGTACTTCATACATTAAACAGTGTAATTCTTACCTTTGAGGTAAATGAGGAAGCTGGGATTTAGAGAGATTAAGCCACTTGCCCAAGGAAATGGTGGAGATTACATTTTGAATCCAGGTCTGATTTCAGAGTCTGTTCTCTGAATCACAATGCTCTACTTTGGTTAAGCCTAAACGTAGATGCCTGTTATGCAGGCAGTAAGGTGTGCACCTAAATGGAGAGAAGGCATATGGAAGAAGGCATATGATCATTTCCAGGATCAGCACTCAAGACATACAATAAATGGTATGTATCACAGAAGGACAAATACTGTATTAGTTCATTATTGTAAAAAGTCAAGGAAAGGTTTATATATGGAAGGAAACTCTCTTGGTTGGTTACCAGGGGTGGGGGGAGAGGGGAAGGGAACACTGGAAAAAATTTTTAAAAAATAAAGTAAAAACCACCTGAAAGGAGCTCTGGTAGCGTAGTGCCTAAGGCACTTGGCTGCTAACCAGAAGGCTGGCAGTTCAAACCCACCAGCCACTCCTTGGAAGGAAAGTTGGGCAATCTACTTCCGTAGTGATGCCGCCTTGGAAACCCAAGGAGGGGTCGCTATGAGTCAGGTCTGACTTGATGGTAAATAACAACAAGGAAAAAAAAAGACATAAGTGGCTTATACTGAAATATTCCTAACAAGATGAGTTACACTTGTGAACTAATGTTATTTTTGGGGGTTTTCTTCTAAAGTAGACCCTCCAACAAAGTGTTCTTGCTTATCATCATATAACCTTGTAATTTGCCAGTTGGGCCTTTGTAGACAGTCCACAGAATGCATTTAGCCCAGCACAAGCCAGTTGCCACCAAGTTGATTCCTGCTCATGGTGACCCTTGTGTGTCAGAGCGGACCTGAGCCCCACAGGTTCCCAGTGGCTGACTGTTCAGAAGTAGACCACCAGGACTTTCTTTCAAGGCTTCTCCGGGTGAAATTGAGGTTCCAACCTTTCAGTCAGCAGCCGAGTGCCCTACCTATTTGCACCACCCCTTAGCCCAGCCCAAGGTATGAGAAAAGCTTGTTTTTTTGTTTTTTGTTTTTTGTTTTGTAAGCTGGTATTATGTGTATAACATTTTCAAAGGAAATAAAAGAGAAACAGAAGCTAAATTCAAGTACTTCAATCATTTAAATAAATGTGTGACTTAGAATTTGTCTCACTGTATAAAGTTCATTTATTTATTTTTAAATGTATCTTTTAGCAGCCTGTGAGCATAACACAAGGACCCCAAAGATGTGGCAGTCTGCTTCCATAAAGATTACGGCCTTGGAAATTGTGGGGGCAGTTCTACTCTATCCTACAGGGTCGCTATGAGTCAGAATCAAGTCAATGGCACACAACAATAATCTTTGTGGGAGCAGATTGCCAGGTGCTCCCATCCACCCACCCAGCGGCTACTGAACTCCAACTACTGAATTTTGCGCCACCAGCGCTTCTTTATTAAGTGCTACCGTTGGATAATTGTTGGGATGCTTCCAATTTGTTGAGAACAGGCCAGCCTAAGTGATGCTTTGGAAGCACTGCTATTAGAAATGGCCTCTACTTTCCCCAAGTTATGCCCCCTTGCATTGTAACGTTGACATAATGCCATGAAGAACAACATAAAATCTGTACCTTGGTCCTTTCTTAAGTCTTACAGGGGTCTGTTATATGTGTTCAAATCAGGGCTTTGAACTTCCCTTTCAAACCCCTGTTGAAAATTTGCATTTCCATCCCAGATATGGGAGCTCTGGTGGCGTAGTGCCTAAGGCATTTGACTGCTAAGCAGAAGAATGGTGGTTGAAAATAAAAACTTACCAGCAACTCCTTGGAAGGAAGACAGGGCAATCTACTTCTGTAGTGATACTGCCTCAGAAACCCAAGGAGAGGTAGTGATGAATCGGAATCGACTGCACGGCAGTGAGTGGGTTTTTTTGTTTGTTTTATTTTGTTTTGGTTTTGGTTTTTGGTATCCCAGATATACTGAATCTGAATCTGAAAAATCTCTAGGTGATTTTTATAGATCCCCAGTTGATTTTTATGCATACATAAGATCTTGTTAAATGTGTCTTGTTAAAATGTAAATTCCTGCCAAAAGACCAAGTATGTGTATATATGGGTTTTCACCTTACTTTTCTCTTCTTTTGGTTTCTCAAATTTGTGACTAAATGGCATGATGAAACTCAACACCCAATGATGGTCAGGTCTGCATTTATTGTGACTATCTTAGTCAGAGATGTTGGAAGGTTGGGCAATCCTACTTCCGTAGTGATACTGCCTCAGAAACCCAAGGAGGGGTTGCTATGAGTCGGGCCGACTCGACGGCACATAACAACAACAACAACAGCTTAGTCAGAGACAGTATTTTCTTCTGTTCCCATTGCCTGAGACTCTCACACCTTCATGAGGAAATAGCATCATTAAAGGTATAGCATGCAGCATTCACTACAGCTGGGATTCTTCCATCGCCACCTAAGCTATACAGCTTTTCTTGTAAGGACCACCCCTCCCAGAATGCACTGTGCCTTGCTCACTCCTCCTACATCCATCAGCTTTCTGCCAGAGGCCTGTTGTGTGCTGTTGGGTTGATTCTGACTCATAGTGACCCCATGCTGTGGTTGTTAGGTGCTGTTGAGTACTTTCCGACTCATAGCGACCCTATGTACAACAGAATGAGACATTGCCCTGGAATTAGAAAAACAAAAAGGAAGAACATGCTCGGCGTTTCTCAATTGAAGGAACTAAAGGTAAAATTCAAGCCTCAGATTGCAATGTTGAATACTGATCATACCTAACTGTTCTGACTTAATTTAAAATTCAATTTAAAGACAGACTTGGGAATGCAACTCATTTATAACCCAGGGACTGCCTACAGATGTGTATACTTTTTTTGGGGGGGCCCCATATTTTAGTGTGTTTTTAGAGTTTAGCAAAGCATCTTTACGCCCGGAGAAGTAATTACTGGCCATTTGCTACATCTGAAGAGCATAGGTACAGATACTAAGAAGAGAGCCCAGTAAAGCCAAACAGGTTTTCCTGGAGCAAAATTGTTTTCATTTCCTATGACTCACCCTGACTCACTGGGAAATGTTTATGTACTGATTATCCTGAAACAGGGAAACAAGGATGAGTTTTAAAAACTACAGCATTGCATTATAAGTTCTTTCACATCTTTGTTGAGTAGGTTTCTTCTGGAGAAACATGGGAGTTTTTCTTACCAAACCAGTTGTCATGGAGTTGGCTCAGACTCATGGCAACTCATGAGCACTGAGCTCCACACGGTTGCTAGTGGCTGGTTTCTCAAAAGTAGATCATCAGGCCTTTCCTCCGAGGCATCTCTGGGTGGACTTGAACCCCCAAGCTTTCATTTAGCAGCCGAGCAGGTTAACTCTGCACCACTCGGGGGCTCTGAGCTTTTCTAAATGGACCCTTTGGTTTTTTAAAAGGCAGAGTTTTGAGAGTGAGGTCAGTGGGAATGGACTGATAATTGATGATAATTTATTTGCAAAAGGAAAATAAATACAGAATGTGCTGACATGTGTTATAATTCATGCAAACGCTGCAAAGAGCTCTTGAATTTTCACCAGAAGGCATACCACATAACCATACTCATTCATTTTGGAACATGCTCCCTGGTGGTTCACTCCCCCTATGGTTCCTCTCACTTATAAATGCTTTCTGTTAGAGTTCATCCATCACTTAATGTGGACCCAACTGTCAACATTTTTCATGACTCCTAACCCCACCTGCTCTACAACCAAAGCTCTGGTAGCATAGTGCCTAAGGCACTTGACTGCTAACCAGAAAGCCGGCAGTTCAAACCCACCAGCCACTCCTCAGAAGGAAGGTTGGGCAATCTACTTCTAGACTGATATCTAGTATCTAGTGATACCCCCTTGGAAACCCAAGGAGGGGTCACTATGAGTTGGGTCTGATTCAATGGCACATAACAACAACAACAACTCCTCTTCTTTGAGCTCCCTTAGAATGTTTAAAGCCATTTTTTTTTTGGTCTTTATTGTATTATTGTTGTTAGTTGCCATCAACTTGACTCTGACTCACAGTGACCCCATGTACAATAGAATGGAATATTGCCCGGTCCTGTACCATCTTCATAATCATTGATACGTTGGAGTCCTTTGTTGTGGTCACTGTGTATTTTGAGTGCCTTCTAATCTAGAGAATTAATCTTCCAGCGCTGTATCAGACAGTATTCTATTGTGATCCGTAGAGTTTTCATT